ATCGTCTATAATGTGTGCCAAAGCTGTAGTACAGCTATAATCTTGACGAAAACCTGACTGAGTACTAGGTAAAATTTTGTTTCTGGTTATGTGGTCACGTAGCTGTAATTCTATTATTTTTTCCACTAATTTTGAAAGGCCAGGTAAGATACTGATAGGGCGAAGAGCTGCAAGTTGTTTGACATCTTTACCCTTAGGGATTGGAGTTATTAGAGCTGTTTTCCAGGCGGTGGGATATTTTCCGTCTAAAAGAATACTATTAGTAATGTGGACGAGAAAAGGCAATATGATTGGAATACACATTTTAAGTAAGACTGAAATTCTGTCACTTCCTGGCGAGGTATTTTTATCCGAAAGAAGGCTTGCAGAATTTGTTCCTCGGAGACCAAGGAAAAATCAAATTTATCATATCATATAACATTATTGTTATAGTGCGTAACTAAATCCTCATTACTATTGATTTGTTGAGGAATATTGTCTAAGAAGAAGTCGTTGATATTATCAGCACTTTGCAGCTGTGAGGGTATACCAGGATTATTTGATTTTATATCTAATGATCTTAGTTCTTTCCATAGTATTTTACTGTTTTTATTCTGAGTCAATTGTGAGAAATATTTATTTTTTTCTTGTAATATGGTATGATTAGTTTTGTTTTTGAGCTGTTTGTAAGCCATACCATTCTGCGCAGGATTCTCCCGGAATTTTGACATAGCTTTGTCTCTATTTCTCATTAGTTTCCTTATGTTATTGCTAAGCCAAGGTGGCTTATTTTTGCTAATTTTAGATGTTTTAAGAGGCATGTGGTTGTCAAACAGCTGAAGGATCATGTTGTTGAACAAAAGCATTTTTTCATCGATGTCAGAAGCATAGCACATATCTATCAGAGGGAGCTTTTGTAGGTCACTGTAGAACTCATGCTCATTGAAATCCTTAAAACTACGATAAGTACAGTAGAAAATATTATTAGTACGCTACAGATAATATACCCTTGTATACTTTTCAAACCCATCTGCAGCAGCGTAATTTGAAGAAAGCTATGCTGACTAAGATACCATAAGCGATAATTTCTTTACAGTAAACGACACTATTTAACCACAATCGCGTCCTCCATTATCAGTACAATGTAATGTCACGAGTGATCACCCTGTAAGGCTTTAGACGCGCAACCTCGCTAGCTTACAAACAGATATCCTAAACTACATCCGCTGATGAGTATGCATAAACAGCAATGGTGTATCGTTATCAGCCGAAATGGAGATATGATGATTATAAAAACTAGTTGGGCAGACATATGAGGGCAATCCCGCCCTGGGGGCAGTCCCCTCGGGGGTCTCAGCTGTGCTTAAGTGTAACTAGAGTAAGTACCTTTTTTATATGTTTGTATTCAATAGAGTTTCTTGTAAGTACTTGCGACTCATATTTATTTAACAGCGCCTCTGCAGCGCACAAGTGAGAGTATGCTTAGCCCAGAGCAACTAACCCCCAAGTCACAATTTTTTTGTATCTTTCGTTTTTATTAGCCTACCTATATGTATCTGACACATTTAGTGGATGTGACTTCTTGGTCCCTTGATATGTGGTGAAGCGCAACTTGTACTGCAGTTTTGGAATCATCTGCATATCTTTATAAGCCACTGTGAAGAGTGGATATGTTAATGTTATAGCGCTAGCTTATATTTTAGGCCACTATATAGAGGTGCACTTATGCGATTTTTTAATTTTTTGCTTCAGTCTACCTAAAACAGTAGAGGATGCAATTATTTCTAGCTAACCCAGCCAGATCTGTAGAAGTCCACACCTCTGCAAAAAAGCTCATAATAATACGCAATATAAAGAGGATCAACGCCCTCACACAACGTCGCCGTTGTATCAGCTGCTAAGGTTGTGCTTGTTATAGTGTTTGTGTCGTGGATGTAATAGTGTTAATTTATAGAGATTTGTTTGTTTTTTGATTGGCCAAAACGGCTACGAATGGCGATTTTATAAGTCGACTGGCAATTTATTTTTGCTTGAGCTATCGGCGAAGTCTCACATGAAGTGCGAATGTATAATTGCGGTTATTGTAGCCTGTTGGCATTGTGTGGTTATTGTGAAGCGTTCTTTCTCAAAAAGGCAGAAGCAGAAGCTATATATCATTCATTCACCATGATAATGTGATTTTTGACGGGGTGTATCACAAATTGACAAAATATCCCAAGTATGGTTACGTATTGGTTCACAAGGAATGTCTCCTCTAAGTGGGTCTAGTTGTTCCGGTGGCGGAGCGTGCGGGGACCCTTTTTTGTTAAAGATGTACTCGTAGGTCCTACCGTCAATTACTGACACAGGAAAGGCCCAACATTTTTTGGTCGGCGGCAAGCAACAAACAAAAGGACACTTTTACTTTGAAGTGATATAGCACAATTAACAAAATATCCCCAAAAACTACGATGAAACTTTCTGTGAGTTTTTTGTTGAAGTTGCCGGTCTTAACGTCAATTACTCACAGACGAAAAGCTCAACTTTTGATTACGCTCAGGCAAACATAATACTGATAGAGCATGCAACGTCCTTTTAGGGGATTTTTGACAAGCTTTAGCACAATTTTACAGTGGGTTTAACTGCTTGGACAATGACCTCGCGAAAAAATTATCCAAGCGGGTCAAGTAGTTCCCGTGGCGGAGCATGCGGTAAGGGTTTGTTGTAGGTGGCAAGTCTAACCGTCAATCTCACACTGGAATGGATCAAAACTACAAGGTTAATTTGGCATTGGATTTTTTATCAAAACATTATACCTCTATCTTGGAAAATGTTTTTCAAGAAAAGTATTTATTGCAGTCAACCTACTTGATGCCATATTTTATAAGCGCATTATTTGAACAATTTTCAGGTATCTCTCAAGAAGTATGCTAGCTAAATACATTTTGACTACTTATATCAGCCATTCAATGTTTACAAGTTCTGTTTCATAAAAACACATGGGCTGAAACTTGAGCATCATCATCGTAATTTTTAAACATTATTTTCCTAGCAAGAAATAAAAAGTTTATTTATGTTACGTGATTTGCAAAATATGCAGGAGACATGTGAGATGCACTCGTACATTGCTCTGCGGGGTTTTCTGAAATAAGATATTTGTTATAAACTGAACACGCCAACGGCTAAACAATGCGTCCACGCCAATGACACAAATCAGCAACCTACCACTTCTTACTCTTATTGCTTTCAATTACTTCTGAATTTAGAACAGGAGTTTTTTTGCTGTTGTTCTGAAATCTCTGAAACATCAAGCGTTTTATTAGCCTTTGAATTTAAAAATGTGAAACTTCCGGTAGAAATTCAAAAAGATGTTACTGGTATAACACGTAAAAATGCTAGTTTCATATTGAAATTCAATTAAGCTGCTAACAAACTACAAACATTTGCCATTGATTTAAACGTTGCCTGTGCTTATGTTTTAAATTCTCCAGTATTGGATATTCGTTAAACATTGATATTTTAACTAAGGACTTTCAAAGCTTTCAGTACCAGATGTTCTCATTATCACTTCCAACTGCAGGCGCTCGTGACGGCCGCTCTCCGAGCCGCTTCTGCTGCTCGAGAAATGCCTTCTAGTAATGTAAAACTATATCTTCCCTGTTGCAAAAAATTTCTCTATGCACGAAATTATACCAGGTCCTCTTAATTGTTCCACCACTTTTACACATACTATACTCTAGTACCGAAACGGAAGATAGTAGCAAGAAACATCGAACGCTACTGTTAATGCGTCTTTGAATACGGTGGCACCCGCGCGCACCGACGTTATCGATACAAAGGCCACAGCTGTAGCTTTAGCATACAATGTGTTATGCTACTCTCTTCCGTTTTGTTTTCCGAGTATAGCAGCAAATGAATGCGGACAGTTTTCATGGTCGATTAGCATCTGTCAATTTAAACGGACGCTACACTTTATCGCCTTAGAGCGTTAAGGCACAAATGCACGCCGGGAAAGATAGATGCAAAATTATAGCATTTGTTTTTTTTAAAATGTTGTTCTGGTATTTTTTAACGCTTCTACTTTTTGTTTTTAATTGTGAAGCAGCCGTGTAGGCAGAACTCTAAATACTGGGGCACCGCGGCTGCTATGAGAAGCCTAAACTTTGTTGATCCGATTTTTGAATTGCCTAATGTTAGTAGAACTGGGAAAGCTTCCTTAGGTCGATTGTTCCACAATATCGATACCCTAGGGACAAAGGAGTGGTCGTTACATGAATTTCCTGATGTACGAAGTTCGACGTGGTTAGGATGGAAGGCCGAAGTCAGGCAAGTCTGTCTGGCAGGCACATCGCGCGGCGACATCATGAAGGAAAGCTCTGTGACTAAACGGCAAAAGAATCAGACTTTCCATTAGAGGAGAGTCATCAATCATTCGGACAGGTCTCCTCTGAACAGTATTCAGCATGTGGATAATGTAGTGGCGACGACAGTGCCCCAAATATGTGAGTAGTACTCGAGGCGAGGTCTTCTTAACCCTAAGCTAATAGCCTAGCTTTTTACAAGCAGCTGCAGCTGTTGGCGAGATGTGTTTGTGCCACATCAAGTCCTCGCCTCGGTAATCTGGACTCCGACTAGCCAAAATTATTGCCTCGGCCATTCATCGAAACCAAATGAGCGCCAAGATGGTTTTTGTTAGTCAAGGAACAGTACTATGTTTTTAACCCCCCTGCAAAATTTTTGTCTAGATCGCATGTACGCAAGTTTTTAAAAGCTACAATAAATGCTTTGGACTTAGCCTCACCAAGTATTTATTTTTATTTTCTTCCTCCGTGGATATAAGCAAATGAAATTGAGTTCACTGGCATGATTTTAGATGGTAATTTCGAATACAGTCACCAAAATAGTGTCAAAAAGCCTTGTTTCACGAGACGCTTTGGTCCAAGTTGGTGCGTGCAATGAATTTGCGTCTCAGATTGAATATTTGTTCGATTCCCTGAAAGCTTCCTTCAGAACAGCTCAAAAAAAAATAAGAAGAAATATACTCGATATATAACAAAGACTTTATTCGTATGTAATCATACATTTCATTATCATCATAAAATCACAATTTTGAGCTACACTTAACCTGTACATATAAACAGATATCCGCATACAGCTTTATGTACAATCAAGAGCAATAGTCGTTGCACGGCATTCTCCCCTTCTTAGAGAAAATAAAATAAGTGGCAACAATGTGTGAATGTAAATGACTTATAACGCTGTTGAAAGATCGATCGAAATCGGTCGAAATTTTGCTTACCTCAATTTCTCGCTATTATTGAGAAGACGGTCATATCTCAATGAGATGATCCTAGGGGTAGACCTTGTCAGTCTTTTGACATCTGCGGTATTGCCGATTCTACTATTTTCCCTCAACGTTGAGAGAAAGCTTCCCAATTATTTTTGCTCCGGACTGTACATTGTATCAGCTGTTAAATATCCACTTGGCCACCTGACTAGCCCCCTCCTTAATTATCTGACGAATTAATCCATTTGAGAAACCTCTGTAGAAGGTCGACCACAAACTTTGCCGCCCTGTCAAAGAATCCGTCGCCTCCCTGTTGGTCTACCTCATCGGTGGTGTTGTCGATGTCCATGCTGTCCACTTCAGCTTGACGACGGTGCCTGAACGAGTGGGGCTCTAGATAAAAAAAAATGACGTCAATTAGTTTGCACTTCTCACTCAACGCTGTCATCAGTTCATAAAGGATTATTATTATAAGAAAAAAGTTAACTACGAACATGTATCATACAAAAATAGAATTAAATGTATCAAGTGAGCAAAACAAGTCACATAATTAGTCCTTACTTCTACCCATTTGATAATGTTACGATCTAAAAACTTCCCTGCCCGTTCTGAAACGATAGCCATACTATGCTGCTCAGTTCAGCAGTGTGGCGGTGAAATAATACGCGGCAATCTCAGAGAAGATTTTTTTGGTATTGGGGTAAGTTTGTAGCGTACGGCAGGTACGACACGTCCTTTTGATATTTCTCTATTTAGGGGCAAATATTCTGGAAAATATGTGATGTATTATATATCTATATATATATATATATAGGTACGTAGGATTAACGGCGTTTGAAGCCTATAAATATAACACCGACAAAAAATTTAAATATACTCTACCCCACCTTCTATAACCCCAATGATACAAAAATGTTTCCGGAAATGATTAGGATCCATTGAAACGTCAAAAAATGAGGATTGAATGGTTCTAATTTTTTTCGCCTGTAGCTTTAGACCGATTTCTCAAAAGTTTTAAGATTTTCTTGGCATAGTAGTAACCTTATGTGAAATTTTCATCAAAGTCCGAGAGGTACTTCTCAAGTTATAGGCGAACCAAGGATCAGCAGACAGACAGACCGACAGCCAGAAATAGTTTTTCGTGATGTACATGTCACTGGCATGGTAATAAAAATCATCATTTTGCTTGACATCACACATTTGATGACTTATTTGCGAAAATGGCACGGCGATTTCAAAATGTATGTTCGCAAGCTACTAGCCACCAACATTCCTCTGGCTTGTCATCATTTGATTTGAAACTGCCATAGACAGATGTTCTTCTTGAACGAAATGAGCTACAGACCAAATATTCAATGATAGTGCAAACATAAGTTTGAAAAGGAGTCAGGGAGGTATAGTCTATAAAAAGTTTCCTAAGCATGGAGCAAATTTCGGACATTATTATTAGACTATTTCGTATTTGGAGATGATTTCCAATAAACCGGCTCCTTTTGTTCACTTACTAATTGATACCCGAGGAAGGTTGCCTAAGTCAGAGTGCTCATTCACAGCCATCATGCTTTTTTCACTGCCAATTATACGTTGATCGATCCTTAAGAGTAGGCAACCCTAAAAATGTATACATTTACGCTGCAAATAATATGAATAAGGTTGTTTACCAAGATGGCATAAAATATCGAAATCAGGCTGTGCAAGGCGCGATCTTTTTTTTACCGATGCAGCCGCGCAGGCAAAAGCCTAAATGCCGGAATACCGCGGCTGCTATGAGGATCCCAAAGAAATTTTGTTAATCCGATTTTAGAAGGTTAGTAGAACAGGGAAAAGCTTCCTCTTGTAGATTGTTCCACAATCTCGACACCCTCGGGCCAAAGGAGCGGTCTTATCGGCCAGTTCTGGATATACGAAGTTCGACACGATTAGGATGGGAGGCCAAAGGCAGGCGGGTATGTCTGGCAGGTACATCGCGCGGCGGCATCATGGAAGGGAGCTCGCCGGAGCAAAGCCTGTTGGTGGAGCGGTAGAAGAGAGCTACATCGCCGACGGCCCGCCGCTGAGAAAGGGTTCCGAGACTCCTCTGCACAGCATCGAGCATGAATAATGTAGTCGAAGCAGCAGCACCCCAAACGTGTAAGCAATACTCGAGGCTAGGCCTTAACTAGGCGTTGTATAGAGTGAGAAAGTCATGCGGAGAAAAGTACTTCTTAGCCCTAAACAAATAGTCTAGCTTTTTCTCAGCAGCTGCCGCTATTGACGAGATGTGTTCGTGTCAGATCAAGTCCTCGGTGATCTGGGCTCCGACCAAGCGAAGTGAACGGCTCTTTGGCAGACCTCGGCTATCCATCGAAACGGGATGAGCGCTAGCATGCTTTTTGTTCGTCAAGGTACACTACTGTGCTTTGGAAGCATTAATCTCTTCCAGCATTGTTGCGTCCCCAAGCAGTGATAACCTCCAGGTATCTCGTCAGAGAGGAAGTCGTTGCTAGTCTTCTTTTTTCCAGTTCAGCGGCAGAGATCGGCTTGTCACTCTGAATTCCTGCATGTAGAACGGGGTCATCAGCAAAGCTGTGGGTTGGGTTGATCGTACAGAAAAGGAGGTCGTTGATATGTAAGAGGAACAGTGTCGGAGCCAAAACCGATCCCTGGGGAACACCCGCTTTGACGACGTGGGATGAAGAGGAGAACCCTTCAGTTACGACGAATATCTTGCGGCCAGAGACAAAGTCAGCCAGCCATCCATCTGCAAAGCTAATCTGGAAGGCCATACGATGGAAGTTTGCATAAGAGGGCAGCGTGCCACAGCTGATTGAACGCTTCCGTGATATCAAGAGCAACGACATGAGCCTCACCATAAGACTATATGAGTTTACTCCACAATTACGTGGCGTGAGCTAGGTGGTCCTTAGATCCTTTTTTTGGGGATGGGCTGGACATGAGTAATTTCCCAGTTTTCTGGGAAGGTGCCGGATTCATAAGATATTTGGAAGAAAAGCGAAAGAACTGGAGCAAGCTCCGCTGCATACCTCTTCAATACAATGGCAGGAATTAGGTCCAGACCAAAAGCTTTGTTGATGTCGAGCGACAAGATCACCCGTATTACGGTCTTATGCCTGAATGTTACTTCCCGCATAGTGTAGGGAACCCTCTGAATTGACGACACTTGGGCGTTGGGGGAGACGTCCACGGTGGAGTTGGCGACAAAGATTTTGGCTAGCACTTCCGCCTTGGCCTTTGAGTCGAATACAATAGTTCCATCCTGACACGTAAGAGGTGGAAGGCTACTATGCGAGAAGTTACTTTCAATCTGCTTGGCCAGCCACAATCGATCATTCTGCGAGAGTGTCGGTTGGAACTATAAAGATCTCAGCTCGCGTTTGATAGCTCAGTCACCACTGTGATCGCTGGAGGATTAGCATTCTGGCGGCATACTTAGTAGATGTGGTCTATCCTCCATTGAACTAAACATGCTGCTTTCGTCCATTCGACCACATACAGCCATCCACGGACACGTGTTTAGTGGTTTTTGGTGACTCATCAGCATGGTCTAGGCTGGGTCTCTGGGACAACGAACGAAATCGTAAACACTATCCTCTATCCCAGATATGAGATCTTTTGAAATTCGACATTTCCAAACTTCTTTATTTAACGCCCTTTTTTCAACAATAATGCGTGAATAGTGTTACCTGAGGGTGAAGTGGAATCTTAAAGAAATTAACTACTAGCTACTACATGGCAATCAAATAATAATAGTTTTCTAGCAAATGACTATGATAGCAACAACTAAGTAATAGAAACGTACATAAGCAATAGCTACATAATTTGGCAAGAAGCATTTATTTGGTACTTTACTTACCGATCTTAGAAAATTTGTAACTACCACTCATTTGCTCACTAGTAATTAAGCAATTTTATAACTACAAATTAATATCAGAACTAGTCATTTACTAGAAAAACCGTGAAGAATGTTATCCGTATGGTGATTATTATAGATTAGTACAATCATTGGTCAAAGTATTCTGAAGATAGCCAACCTAATGCTATATTCTCGCGTTCCAAAAAATATCCGAGATAAAGTGATATACGGTAGCGTCACCTTTGAGAATTTGTCACAGCTGTTTCTCTATTTACTGTATATACTTTAAAAAAGTTAGTGTTTCATAGATGGCGCTACAGCCACATATATGCTTGTATATGCTCATATAAACAGCGCCATCTATGAGTTACTAATCTTTCCGAAGTATATATGGTTAATGGAGAGATAGTCATGACACATACTCATAGATGACGCTACGGAATATCATTTTACCTCGGTTAACTTTTTTTACGCGGGAATATATCATTAGGCTGGCTATCTTCAAGTACAAAATGTTAATCAATAGTACAATGGAAACATTTAGTATATTAGTGACGTGTCTATTATATTTTTTTCGATCTATTTTAATTTCGAAGCATAAACATGTAATTTTCAGACCGATGAATCAGTAACATTTTCGAAAAAATATGCAACTGTCTACTTACCTATCATTGCTGCTTTCTCTAGGGTATTGAGAAATTCAATATCTTGTGATAGGAACTGAACAATCGCATTTTCGAAATCCTTTTCTGATTTGAACGGTTTTGGAGCCTTGAATAGACAGACATATTACAAAAATACTTTAGAGCATATTTGTGTAAATGATACTGTGTAACAGTTGATCAAACAATTTCCATGCTTTGCCCTAAAAGTAGTCCGGAAATAATCAGAAACTCAATGTAATGTTTGAAACTTAACCTAGGGTGATACTACATATGTCTAATTGACTGCTTACTAACATTTCGGCCATCTCGGTGGCCCTTTTTAACACGCTTTTATTATTTATTTTTTTATTTTAAGCTTGGCCTGTATGCATGTGTGTATGTATGCAACGGAATCTTTGAGTATAATTTTCACCAATTTCCAGAAGTTTGATTCATTTCTTTGTTGGTTTGGACACTCTAAACAGCACAACGGAGGCAGATAGGTAGTGCATTCTCACCTTGTTCATTCCTTATAATGGGTGATTTTTTTGCTAGTATCTTTTTGGCAACACTGTTTTTGACAGATGACGCGTGAATCGTGACTTGTGTCATTGTCAAACTTGTTCAGTTTGGTCTATCATTTAACCATGAATCAACTTACGAACGAACAACGCTTGCAAATTATTGAATTTTACTATCAAAATTTATGCTCGGTTAAAAGAGTGCATCGAGCACTGCTTCCAATTTATGGGCAATTTGGTCGGCCTACTGAGGGAGTTATTCGGAAGCTTGTGACTAAATTTCGAACCCAGTTTACATCATTGGACATTAAACCACCAACACGCAGACGTAGAGTGAGGACTGAAGAAAATATTGCGGCTGTATCCGCCAGTGTTAGTGATGACCGTGAAATGTCGATTCGCCGCCGTTCGCAGCAATTGGGCCTCTGTTACTCCACTGCGTGGAAAATTTTGCGACAGGATTTGGGTGTAAAACCTTATAAGATACAGTTGTGCAAGAATTGAAGCCACGCGACCTCCCACAACGTTTCCAATTTGGTGAATGGGCGCTGGCAAAGTTAGAGGAAGATCCACATTTTTATCGAAAAATTGTGTTCAGCGACGAAGCTCATTTCTGGTTGAATGGGTACGTTAACAAGCAAAATTGCCGCATCTGGAGTGAAGACCAGCCAGAAGCATTGCAAGAGCTACCAATGCATCCCAAAAAAATCACTGTTTGGTGTGGATTATGGGCTGGTGGCATCATCTTCTTCAAAGACGACAATGGCTGGAACGTAACTGTGAATGGCGAGCGCTACCGTGCGATGATAACAAACTTTTTTTTTGACCAAAATGGAAGAGGTGGACTTGGCTGACATGTGGTTTCAACAAGACGGTGCCACATGCCACACCGCACACAAAACAATGGCCCTATTGAGAGGCGAGTTCGGTGAACAGTTTATCTCACGTTTGGGGCCCGTCAATTGGCCGCCTAGATAGTGTGATTTAACGCCGTTGGACTATTTCTTGTGGTGCCATGTTAAGGCTAATGTCTACAGGGATAAACCAGCAACGATTGACGCACCGGAAGCCAATATTGAAGCATTTATTCGTGAGATACCGGCCGATATGTTGGAGAGAGTGTGCCAAAATTGGACCTTGCGCATGGGCCATCTAAAGCGGAGCCGCGGCCAACATTTACATGAAATAATCTTTAAACATTAAATTATATCGACCGTTTTATCGACTCAAATAAAGATTTAATCGTTTTTTGTGTTTTTTTAAATCAAATCCTATACCTCTTAAAAAATCTACTACTACTAATGAGTCCAATACACGCGAATTATTACGCGCACGACATCCCGTCGGTCTGTATTTCAGGTCAGATGGTGTGCACATGATCAAACCGATATCGATACAGTTCGCATCGAAGTACAGCTATGGAACTGCTGAGAGACGAATGTTGCCATTAATCCTCAGTTCGGCTTCGATCGTCCAAAAGATGCAAAGTTGTACAGTCAATCATGCAGTCATTTATCTACGCTCGCGACTGTTTGCTGCTGGACAAGCTTATGTAGCACTTAGTCGTGTAAGATCTTTAGACGGTATTCGGATTGAAGAACTTGATTGCTCTAAGTTAACAGGAAAAACCCCATGCAACAGTGAAGCTTTAAATGAAATGATTAGATTACGAAATGATTCGTAAGACATTTCAGTACCACATGTCCACAAAAACTAATTGATAGATCGAACTAAAAAATGAAAAATAAGTAATACTTTAAAAAAACTAAAAAAACACGCTTTTATAGCTAACCGAACTAAAAAGTAAATTTTAATTACAAAGAGTTTATATTACAGTAGTAGATGATCGAACAATCAATCATAATTAATGACAACAAAGTAAAATTATAATAAAACTTAAGTTATTAACAGAATAATTCAATTCAGAGTAAAAAGCGTGGGGTGCATTTTACTAAATTTTCAGAACAAACGCAGAGCTATCTACTACTGTAATATAAACTCTTTATAATTAAAAATTATTTTCTACTTTTCAGTTCGGTTAGCTATAAAAGCGTGTTTTATTACAAGCAAAAGAAACTATGAGGGAATCTGGGCCGCTTATTTCGGATATGGCCGTCAAAAAATAATAAAAAATCTTCCCGTCGATCTCTGCTAAAAACTGACATCAAAATCACCCAAAAATTTTCTCTTCAATCTCTAACTTTCTCAATACAAAAATTTGATTTTTGCCCTCTGTGGCTTTAGGCGAACGAAATTCGGAATAATGGGGCCATCAGACAATCCTAAATTCATAGATAGAGATATACAGCTAAATGTTGTTTTCGTAAAAATCTATAGCTTTCCAGGTTTTTGGCATTTCACTTTTTTTGTTGAAAAAATGGCTTGCTTTTAACTAATCCTGTAGGTACCTTTTCTAATAAAAACCTTTTTGGGCCAGGATTGTTTCACTACACTCAGAACTAAGCAACATTCATATGGATCTGACGCATCAGCTCTATTTCATCACTGACCTGAGTCCACTGAGTTTTATATTGCTGCTCAAGGGAATTTGTATATGAAAGTGAATTGACCATCGTATCAGAATTCGGTTCCAAAATTGAACCAGCCTCGAGCATGCTAGTGGTTATTCTGACAGGTTAAAATACTATTTATGAACAATTCGTCGCTGGTCTGACAAATGGGCGTAAGCGACACAATCTCTAAATAGGAGATAAACCACTGAGAAACTCTCGAGGGGTATACCTATGTTCTGACAAATGGACGTATCTCCATCGCTCATACCACGGAGTATACATCATAGTCAGTACGGACGGAAGCGACATCAATGGAAGATAGGGAATCTGGCTAAGAGGCGTAAATCCATAAATGGACATACGCCTGTTCGTCACATCATCTATTGCGCTTTAGTGTCGCTTTAGCCCGTAGTATGTAACTGTGATAACCATAGCCACCTATATCTAACGTAGTTCTAGGTGGCTATGGTGATAACCGATACTGTTGCGCCATCTCCTGCATGTTTACGGGTTTTCTAGAACGTCTAGGTATCCCCAGTTATCATAACAGATGGTGAGGTGTATGTTTAAGTGAAAGTTGAAAGTCTAAACTTAAGGTAAGCACATTTTTGTTGACTTAAAGTAATATATTATTTGAGATAAACATGCGTCGTGGTTTGGTGATTCTGACATTTATAGTTGAAATGTGAAGTTATGAAAGAAGTCGAGGCGAGAAAACCTTCGCCGCCTGTCAATTATTGAGATGACGTCCGCGAAATGAGGCAAACTATTTCAAACTAACCATAGATTTTGTGTTGGTTAGGGTTAACTTTTGCTATGGTTATTATAACTGTTTGTTTTTATTGCAGTAACTTAACCAAAGCAGCATGGATGTGTTAGTCAAGTGGGACGACGGTACAACTAACGTCGTGTATTCAAAAAACCTCACCACTGTACATAAAACTCAGACTTTACGCTCTGGTGTTGGGGTGAAAATGTACTGGCCCCCCGACAAGAAATATTATTATGGAGTAGTAATGACAACTTCGAAGGAATTGAAGTGGAAGAATAAGAAGGCACGTGTTATTTCCAATCCATCAGAAAAGATGCAGAAAATACATCAGCTGGAAAGCAACGATTCAGACGATGACAATATTCCACTCAGTGTTTTAAAGAAGGCTATCGAAGAAAATAAGGAGCCTTCCATTTCACCAAAATCAGTGTGTCCAATAAAAAATATTGATTTACAAGACGAGGTTCCACCAGGTCCTAGAGAACAAACTCCAGATCAACCTGAAGCTGTTGATCCTTTTGAATGTTCTGACAGCAGTAATCACGACCCCACTTATACCCAAACCTGTAATTTTAAAAATTGCAAACAGGAAATATTTGCTGCTTGTCACCGCTGTCCTGCATTGTTGTGCTGGGATCATTTCAATAACAATAGCGACTGCAAATATCACGATGATATTTACTCATCTGATTCTGAAAACGGAAAGGATAAGGCAGAGATCGAGCGCGATCGCTTAGCTGCTAAGTACGCCGTAGATGGTGTGCAAAGAGAGGTGCCGTTTGCTAAGACAAAAAAAGGAAACAAAAAGGCAATAGCACATGCGCAAAAAAGTGAGGGGAAAGCTTACGTGAGTTCAACTTCAAAAAAACTTATGCCACCGAAATTAATAAACCCGCGATGTGACACAAAGAAGTGTAAACAAGAGTGCAGCTTAATCACGGAAGAACATAGGCAAAAGATTTTTGCTGCTTTGTATGAAACAAAAAGCCTTCAGTTACAGAGGGAGTTCGTTGCGCGTCATGTTACAGCTCACAATATTAAAAGAAAGCGAACAAGCTTACTTATCGTCTTGCGAATGCAAATACATCAACAACTGTTTGTAAAACTATGTTTTTAAACACGCTCGGAATTTCTGAAAAAACAAACCATGCGGACGGCACTAAATAAATTAAATGATGAAGGGATAGTACGTCCTGATGCACGTGGTGGTCGACACGCCAGTTTGCGTGAAAAAGATAGCGCTACTCGGTCTGCTGTATTAGCCCATATTCAACTATTTCCTCGGATGGAATCACACTTTTGCAGATCTGACTATTAAGAAAATGTATTATTTTTACGTGTAAGAGGGACGTCAGCCACAGTGTAGTTATCACACCTATCGAAGGGTATTCAAGTCATTGAATCTTTCTTTCCATCACCCAAAGAAAGACCAGTGTAGCCTTTGTTCGTCCTATAAAGAAGGCAGCACGGAAACGAAGGCCAAACTCGAAGATTCTTTTGCTGCACACATTGCAGAGAAGGACTCTGTGCGAAAGAAGAAACAAGATGCTAAAGAATCATCACAAGAAAACCCTGAAGTAATAGCTAGTGCTGTATTCGACCTGCAACAGGTAATTTCGCTTCCAAGAAGCAATGAAAGTGGAATTTTTTATAGCCGTCGTCTATCAGTGTTCAACTTTACGATTTACAACCTAGGAAATAAAAACTGCTTGTGTTATCTTCGGAACGAAATTAATAGTAAACGAGGGTCCAACGAAATATCAACATGCGTGGCAAACTACCTTATTCAGCTGGATACCCAGGGAATAAAAGAAGTGAGACTATTTGCAGATGGTTGTGGTGGCCAAAATAAGAACACGATTGTTTTAGCCATGTTGCTGCACACCATAACCAATACCAAAAACATTAAAAAAATATCATTATCTTTCTTCGAAACAAATCACGGCCAAAGCGAGGGCGACTCTGCCCACAGTTCTATTTCGACAGCTTTAGCCTTAGCAGGAGATGTCTTTATTCCTGCTCAGCTTCCTCCTATTCTTAAATTGGCAAGACGGAATTCTCTATACACTGTCATCCCTATGGATAATGCTGACTTTCTGGATTACAAGTTTGTGGCTGAACAACTCCGCATTCGACAACTGAGAAAATTTGACATGGGGGAAAATGTTAATTTCACCGCAATCAAGGAAGTAATGGTAAAGAAAGATGTTCCACAACTGTTTCTAAAAGTCAGCCATCTTGCTGATCAGTATAACACATTATCTCTGAAAAGAAACACTCTTGAGGTCCTGAAACAGCCGGTACGTAGACTTAATAATGGTCCAATTAAATTAGACAGCCTGAAATACGAAAACCTTGTTGAGCTATGTACTGGACCTTCACCCATAGTGCGAAATCTAACGTTTCAACAATACTTCAAGAACCTCCCGCATCATTAAACACCTCAGTTTTTTATAATTTGCATACATCCTCTGTTTAATTTCTATATTTTGAAGTTTTCTTTGTTTAAATAAAAATGTCGTTAATGATAGGAACCGTTGTGTATGTTAAAAATTACTAATGAAAAAGGGCGTAAGTGACATACCTCTGTAAAATAACTCTGACGAACGGGCGTATGTCCAAAGTGGCCATTTTGTAGGACAATATCGTGCGAGCTTTGCAATCACGTTATGACAGATTGAAAGTGTTGTACTGTAAAATTATGTTATTGGCGCTTACGTCCATTTGTCAGAACAGCGACGAATTATTGTATGGCATGATAGATGCTCATTAGTACAATAAATGTAAAATCAATTATTCTTCAACATCAATTCTGTCCAAATTTTGTCTCCCAGCCTCATTTGCGAAAACAGGCCGTTTTCCATAATAACTGCAGTTAGAAGAAAATAACAGCAGACTGCGGACAACAATAATTTTATTCATAAATTGCCATTAATCAACCATCTTTGTTTGACTATTTGGCACAATGTTCATACTTGATCCCCTTACACTACAGCATGTCATAGTCAGACGTGACTAAGACTTAGACTTTGGTATTATTTTTATGCATTGACATCTACCTAATGTTTTTATAAAAAATGCACGTTTTGTTAACAAAAAATTAAACGCAGAAAACTATGAAACTATTACTAAAACAAAATTTACCTATATTTAGGGGAGAGCATAACTATAGCCACACCGACAATTTTCGTTTTTCCTCTAGTTCTTCGATATAAGAAATTGATTGAAGTGAAAAAAAAAAGGAATTAAAGCTCACCCCAAAAACAACTCCGCAGAAGATCACAGCCAAAGCAACCACAAAGATTAACCGCGGCAGCATTTTTTTATCTAGTAGTACGCCACACTACAAGTGCGACTGATTTTTAGCTATTTTGATGATCAAAATGAGCTGGTTTAATTGACGGATTTTCAATTTATACGATTTTGCGGAGGATGATACGTCATGTGCGTAGCAATGGTTTTTGTGGTGGGAACAATGGAATTATTCATTGTTGATTGTTCACTAGATAGGTGAAGCTATGTATAAATATCCTCGGTATATTTTGTATGTAACTTCCGAATTTGTGGTTGGCTCTCTGACTCACTGTGACAAGTTAGTAAACTTAGGTCCCACATAAACCCATCAAGTAGACGAAGCGAAAACTTAGCATTCGTGTGAGAAAACCAATTCATAGTCATATTTAATGGAAGATAACATGGATGAGGAGGTTGACGGGCGCTAAGCCGGTGTAAGTAAGACAGCAGAAAGTGCGCATTTGACAGCTGGGTCACCACTGCGGACGCTAGATGCCGACGATGCTGGTGGTTATAGTAGGTACGGTATACTCGCCATTAAGTAAACTAGTAATGCACGTAACGTAACTTGGCCGAGCGACTTCAGGTGGACCATGGACCGCTGTTTCGTTCTTCTTGGTAGCTCATCAGCAAGGTCTCAGGTAGGACAAGTTGGTTACAGATCCAACCAACGAAGGGCCTAAACGTTTACATTGCATTGTTTGTCAACAAAATTGCGTATTTTCAGTGCGCACTTTTGACTCATTTGTCTACCAATGCTTACCAAAGTGACAGCTTTGTATCAACATAATAATAATCGGCGAAAACATCTACCTTCTTTAGGTTTATGCCGATCTTTGCAAATTATGTAAGAAGTACCATGTCTTGAAATCGTCTAACACCACAATTATCTGCAAACACTCGCACAAAAATGATACTCAATATACGATTTGACTTAAATGCACAACAAATCCTGACTGGCTAATCCTAGTCTGAATTCGTTGGTTCCAACCGACAGCTTTGGGCTGTCTTATTTGACATTATATTCTGGATATAAGACAGCCGCTTAGCTTTTGTTTGTTGTTCTGCGTGGGATCAAGATGATGAGTTGCCAAAAAACACGGAACTGCCGTCCTTAGGTGCATTAAACCTATATTACTTGTTACTTCCCGCGCCAAAATGTTCGAAAATGAGATACTATGTTTATTGGATGTTGTATGTCATGTACATCACAAAAAACATGTTACTTATTTCCGTCTGTCGGTCTGTCGGCCTGTTACTATTATGTCAAGGACGCAAAAGCGTTGTAGTTTTTGAAAATCGGTCCAGTGGCGGCAGAGAAAAAGGAGAAAACAAAACCAAATCTTGTGCCAAACATAATCCTTTACGAACATGTGACAGCGTAGCGTGGGAAGTACAGAGTCAACTTACGTGACGCAATTTTTTTTTTGATGTAAATCTCTGGACTAAGATTCTTCGGTTTTTTAGACCATTATCAACAAAAAATTATTGCGACGGACGCCAAAATAGATATTCCAATAGCTGAACAATAGCCATTAGAAAATCCTAACCTAACTGCAATTAAAAATAGTTATTTATTATACAAGGGAAAGAAGTACTAGATTTTAATCTAGTATTTTCCCGTGGATAATACACAATTTTTTTCTATGACGAGAAAGACGACGATTTAATATTGAAAAATTATATTATTACAATATATAAGTCCGAAAAGTATCGATGTGAAATTTGAATTTAGAAATTAGTAGGATATGTTATACTTATAGCGACAATTAGACCTGCGTTGCTACGGGAACTTTCAAAGTAATCAAATAGTTATCAATTTAATTTTGTGATTTGATTTAAAAATTAGTGGTTGTTTAGAAGTTATTTTTAATACTATAAAGTAGAAAATGTCTGCTTCCGGACTCCACCGGAATTAGTAGAAGTAGCCAAAGTAGCGTGACAAAAATTATTGCCAGCTAAATCGTGGAAAATTCAAAAAGTATTCAATATTCGGGAAAAATGTACACATAAAAAATGTATTGTTTAAATGCCTTTAAGCTGCGTTCTAGAATTGCATGCGACTACCCTGACCGTGAAGGTTCGCCGATATCATAATGAGAGAATTATATCACTGGATTTACTCGGAATTAAAAGCTACATGATGCTATGTTTAAACGTCTTCCGGTCTATTGTGCATGGATACATCACAGCAACCAATTTTCGAATTGACATTGAATTTATCAACAATACTTATTCACTACGTATTCCGATTAAAAAACTGACTGTACAGGTGTATTTGGTATTGGTATAAGTACAAACACTACAGGGGTAAGACACAAAAAAAAAAATTAAATCAAAAGTCTGATCAGTGATATATGCAATATGAGCTTTTTTGTACTAATGCTGCCACATAGGCAAAAACCTAAGCACCGGGGCACCACGACTGCTATAAGAAGCTTAAAGACACCTTGTAAATCCGATCTTAGAATTGCCTAAGGTAAGCAGACTTGAGGAAAGGCAGGTTGTTCCACAATGTCGACACTCTAGGAATGAAGGAGCGGTCGTATCAGCCAGTCCTGGATGTATGAAGGTTGACGGGATTAGACTGGAAGGCAGAAGCTTGGCGGGTCTATCTGGCAGAGCAAAGTCACGTAAATAGCGGTAATAGAGTCAGTTCGTCGATCGCCCTTCGGCGTGAACGGGTCCCGAGACTGTCCGTTAGAAAATTACCAAAATGTTGCGAGCACAAGCTGTGATAACTTTCAGATCTCTCGTGAGAGAGGAAGTCGCTGTTGTTTGTCTTCGAAATTTATTATGATAATAGGGGGGTCCCAAGAGGTTAAATGAGGAGTTACTCGAGCGTCGAGACCTTTTGGCTTTTGAAAATTTGTTTGCAGAAGGAAAAAAAGGTTACATGATGTATACTCTCTTATTGGTGATGGGAGTGCCTACAGGTTGTCAAACATGTAAGAAATGTTTCAAAAAGTTGCTTAGAAATGGTCAAGCGCGTTAGATATTGATAGTGAATGTACTTATAGTCTAATATGATTAGCAAATAATTGTAAAGTCTGGTTTTATTGGTGCAAGTTATTCAAGGGGTATTTAAAACATGGACGCATAAAATGGGTAGATACACCAATGCTTGTGGGAAAACTTGTTATTCGACTACAAAGAGTGAGAAAACGTGTTTTTTGATATTCAATCGAAAGTGTTGAAAAGCCAAATAAAAGATTTTTAGGTATTTATGAGACCTACAACATGAGACCACACGTAAGAAGGTACGACTAATAGCAAAAATGTTATGACAGAAAAACGAGGCAACATGCAGTTTTTGGCACTTGTTAGTAATTTCACGCACCGACTTGAAATTCTTCAAATCCGTAAGATTCATACTTCTAAATAACAATAACAAAATTGGAGTATGTGGTCAAGTAGTTTTTGAGAATTTCTAATTACTTATCCCAAAACACCAGCCTTCCGGCCATCACTACTAGTTTACTGAGTAATATATAGGGTTCGTTCAAAGAGCATTTAATAGCAAAATAAACGTGTTTACCTTGCCAATACGAATCTCAAACTATTCCAAAAGATAAATGTTATTTTTATGCGAAAAACAAAGCTTACGTTTTTTTCTTCTAAACAAATTCAAACATTTCATATGTGTAAGTAACTGAACAAATGCGCTACGATGTTCGAAAAACATACGTTACTATACATACTTTAAAATAAAGCGGATGTGTCAATCATCTTTTGTTGCGAATTACTCACACATCCGAAATGTTTGAACTTGTTTAGAAGAAAAAACGTAACCCATCCTTTTTTGCATAAAAATAAATTCATCTTCCGAACTGGATAGCGATTCATATCGCCAAGGTAAACTAATGTAATTTCGTTATAAAATGCCCTTTGAACTAACTCTGTATATTGCTGAATAAACTAGTAGTGCTGGCCGGAAAACAGGTGTTTTGGGATAAACAATTAGAAATTCTCAAAAACTACTAGACCAATCTACTCCAATTTTGTTGTGGCTCTTTAGAAGTATGAATCCTACGAATTTGAAGAATTTCAACTATCTGCGAGAAACCATCGACGCATTACCAACAAGTGTCCAAAACCTGCAGTTTGCCTCGGCTTTCGGTCATAGCTTTTTTGCTATTAGTCGGAACTTTTTACGTTTTACATTTTGTAGGTATCATAAATACCTAAAAATCTTATGTGATGGAGAGTTTTTCTGTTCCTGCCAACTCTTTTGATTGAATCCCAAAAAACACGTTTTCGCATTCTTTGTTGTCGAATAAAAAGTTTTCCCACAAAAACTGGTGTACTACCCATTTTATGCCTCCATGTTTTAAATACCACCTTGAACAACTTGCAGCAATAAAACCTGACTTTACAATTATTTCGCAAATATATGCCTCATGTTTCTCTGATATTGGAGTATGACAATCTGCCAGATTTTTCCGGGTGGGTGCTGTTAATGCAAGAGCCATCGGTTGAAAAAATTATAAACAAAGGTGGTCAAGAGAAATTGCTGGAAATTATTTTTAATTTCCTAAAATTGCTGGACATTATTTTTAATTTCCTAAAATGGCCTTACTTTAACTTCAATATTAGAAATGCCGTTTTTTGAAAACATTCATAATTAACATATCTATGTATGAAATAGCTTCATTTGATAGTATTCGTGTTTTGCAACTTTTCTTGTAAGTCGATTGTTTTAAGGAGGAGAAAGGGTTCAAGATCTTTTCAGAGAAAGTAGTAAAACTTCTGATTGGCATGCTCGATTTTTATGATTTGGGTTTCATTTAAGAGGGCTTTTAACGGATGTTAAGCCTTATAAGTTTAGTCCGTTTTTCATTAGATAGGTGCCGCTTAATGAACGTCATTAATCTGGATTTTTTCGAAAACTTCGGGTGCAATGGTATTAATATTTTTTATTACTCAGGAAGTGAATAAACAATCCTACAACCTTCAAGCTAGTAAAAACCGTAAGCCATTATCTTCGTTATAAAGTTATGACACTACTCATATTAAATTTTCATTTGACTCAAGATTAATACCATGCCAAAGACAAAAGAGCTTTACAGGTTCTGAAAATGTTCATCACG